TGTTCCTCAGGATCCATTGATTCCCATGAGCATCCATGAGGGTATGGTTTTGTGGCAAGCAGATAAGCCCATTCCAAAAGTAAAAACCAAGTCACAATATGTAGGATCCAACCAACTGTGAATAAAGCTCAGCCCATTTTCTGGTTGTTTGCACATGGTTATTGTACTTATATGTGTATATATAAATACAGTTATATATTTATTGTAAACCACTTTGAGATCTTTCAGATATTAAGCGGTCTATAATTCGATACAATAAATAAATATATAAATAAAGCTGAGGACTGCTGCTTCCATTCCTCTCCTCTCCAGAAGTACAGACCAGAACAAAGCAAGTCAGTTCTGCAAAACCCTCCAGCAGTTTGCCTACAACAATTTGTGACAGAGGGAAGGCTACCAGAGAAGATTTCATTCCTAATGTTCCCTCATTAGGAGAGTAGTGTGTAAGCACTGGACCTAGAACATGATAGTGAAGAGTCACTGCATACAAGAAATGACCACCCCTTTGCAAGAAGGATTTTGCTCACCAAATTCAGGGCACGTTTAGTATGTGAGAGGCCTTAAAATTTGCTGGAACTCAATTCCAGTGTAGACCTTGTGACATCTTCATCCTATATACTGAGTGCTGCAACCAAAACAGCACCATCCACACATGAGATATCAGCAGGGCTGGTGAATCCTGAGATCTGCAGAAGTACAAAATGCTTTTTGCTGCCTATGTTTTTTTAATCAACAACCTAAAAATTAAACAATGACAACACTGTTTATGTGTGCAGCTGCACAAGAGGGAGGGGTAAGACACAGAGAAAAACATATGTCATACACTTTTGATTTCGTCAATTGAGTTTGAAAATGTTGTGAATAACCTCACATACTGTATAGTGTATATACTGTATTCATGTTCACTCTGCTATTCTTACAATAATATTACTATTTGTAATACAATCAATTCAGAATTATATGGATGAGAGGGATGAGTGAATGAAAGGTGAAGGCCTACAAGGTTGTCAAAGAGGAAAAGCAAGTTTCAGCAGTGGCTAATGGCTACCTCAAACAAGCAGGACTTTGTTTTAATATTTCAGGGGTGGGGGCGCAGATGTCGTATTACAGGGTGGTTGTGCCTTCTGTCTCAGAGGAAGCACAGGGAAGCAAGGGGGAGCCAAGGCTTGCAAGGCAGGAGGTTGCTGCTACTCACCTTCACGGCCTAGGACCCTTGTACCTACGGGACCGCCTCTCCCGGTATGTCCCACGGAGAGCCTCAAGGTCCATAAATAGCAACACCCTAGTGGTCCCAGGCCCTAAGGAAGTTAGATTGGCTTCAACCAGAGCCAGGGCCTTTTCAACTCTGGCTCCGGCCTGGTGGAACGCTCTACCACATGAGGCCAGGGCCCTGAAGGATCTGCTTTGTTTCCACAGGGCCTGTAAGGCAGAGTTGTTCCGCCTGGCCTTTGGCCTGGAGCCAATTTCATTCCCTTCCCCCTCTTTTTTTTCTTTTCCTTTCTCCTCCTGCGATGAGGCTACATTTTAATATTTTAATGTTTCAATATTTTAATGTATTTTAAATTTGTTTTTAAGTTGTATTCATTCAACTTGTTTTTATTATTGCTTGTTAGCCGCCCTGAGTCCAGCCTTGGCTGGGGAGGGCGGGGTATAAATAAAAATTATTATTATTATTATTATTATTATTATTACTCTACAGGGAGGTTCTTGTATGTGCGGGGTGGCAAACAGCACAGGCTAGAAAGTGATGTTGCTATCAATGTAGCTTGCTGGAAAGCTCTTCTTGCTCTGGGCAGCTTCCACACTTGGAAAGGAAGAACTTCCAAGGGTGTAGATCCAATTAGCTGACAGTCAGCCTAGTCTGCGTCTTCAAGGACTTCTAGCCATCAATTCTCAGCCAGAAAGGGTTTTTGCTCTGGGCAACTACCTAGCTAAGTTGAAGCTTTGAAGGAACAAAAACTCAAAGTAGTGAAATGTTCAATGGGGAAGAAGCAAGAGGACACAACATCCCACACAATTAACATTTTATTGTGGCGTCTCACTCAGTCCTTCTATTTTCAGTTAAATCATCTGAATGCCATCACATCTGTAGCTAAAACCATACAAAAGGAAGGCATGAGCAGACCTATTAACACAAAATTTTTTACTAACACCCACAAAAGGCGGAGAACCCCAGAAAAATTCAAATGAGGACTGAACACATTCAGTACACACAGAATGCTGAATGTGGGATGGGGGGAGGACTTGAATAAGGTATACTGAACAGCAGTAGAATGCAACATTTTATTGTAGCTCTAACTTGTCTACACTGCATTTAGCAAAGAAGGAAGGCACTTCCTACAGAGCCCAAGTACAGTCATACCTCGAGTTGAAATAGCTTTGGGTTGAGCGTTTTCGGGTTGTGCTCCACGGTGACCCGGAAGTAACGGAACATGTTACTTCCAGGTTTCGCCGCTCGCGCAGATGCTCAAAATGACGTCACGCGCATGCGCAGAAGCGACAAATCACGACCTGCGCAGGTTGTGTTTGCTTCAGGATGCGAACGGGGCTCTGGAACGGATCCCGTTCGCATCCAGAGGTACCACTGTACCTTTTTGCTGTAACTTTATACAAAATAACTATTTCATATACCCACAGGCCACATCAGATTCCCCTTTGTGACACACAGTCTGTATATTGTGCATTTTTAATAACTTAGAACATCCAAGTTTCCTCAAATGGCATGGAGATGAAGTTACAAAGTTAATGCCCTCCTATACACTTTATTGTATTTTAACACAAGAGCCTGCTGTATCATACAAAGGTTCATCATATCCAACATCCCACATCATATCCAACCTCCCACAGCAAGGACTTCTGCTAATGCAGTGGGACTTCCCTCTGCTCTCCCATGCACTTCAAACTGGCTCTGGGAGTTTAGGAGAACCCTCAGCATAGCACACAGAGGGAGGAGAGGAAAGATCTTTCCGTTGGCCAAACAAAATGTTTGTGTTGACAGAAAGGCTGGAAAAGTATGATATTGAATTTCTCCTGCATCTTTTATCTTTGTAAGCCAATTCAAGATGTGTAAAAAGCAGGATATACATTAAAAACACATACAAATATCAAGAGACTCCAAAGCGACCAACTCTCATTGGAATTAATATAAGCATTTGTTACATTAGCATAAAATATTTTCTTTCATATATACATAAAACTTAACATACCCCTTTTAGTACAGATATTATTATTACTCTAAATTACCATCCGTCTCCCACTTTTTCAAAACACAATTGCCCAACACCACCAAATCATCCACAGATTTATTAGCATAAAACAAACTTGCCACAATGTTTTGAACAAAGAGTACAGGATTACAACTGTATACATTTACAGAGGCTGATAAACATACACCTTAACCCATCCCCAAATCTACCAGTTTAGGCTGGATAGCCTGAGCATTCTTTTTCCTTGGGATAAAGTTTTGCACTTCATTAAATAGCCATCCTTAAATAAGGTTAAAGAACACTGTTCCTGGCTTTAGAGTACTGTACAAAGAAATATCTATATCTTTGTTTTTCTTTCCCAAACTTACTATGCTTCCATGCTAAAGGTTTATAGGCACTGACCTTACATTACATTATTCCAGGAAGCAAGCTCTAGTACATGGGCAAGCAGAAAAAGCTGGTGGAACTATGCAGACACTCTCCCAAATAGAGCATTTACAGGGATGTAGAGGGGCTGAATCAGCTCGGAATCACATTACAGCATCAGATCTGATTCCAGCCTGGAGCACCAGCTCCAAAGTAGGACTGTGGACCCATCTTCTATCCCAGTCAACTTGAGCAGGAAAGGTGTGGATGGCCAACATATTTTTGTAAGGTATTTACTAAAATATGCCAGAAAAGTGCACTTGAACAAGAAGTCTGGAATTCTGGTTCTCACCAGTTGTATCTCACATGCCAATGCTATAGTACATTACTTGGATCTTCTAAAGAGGCCCTGCTCTGGAATCCATCTAAAAGGCAGACTTTTTAGCCTCCACCAGGGGCCCTGTCTTTTTTGTAGCAGCCCTGATACTATGTAACTCTCCTAAGAAAAGTTAATTAGCATCCTCCCTGCTAGCTTTCTGAAGGGAGGTAAACACTTTTAGTTTCAGTTCGCCCTTGTGATCTAACAATTGCTGTGTTCACAGTTTTTTGCTGTACAATACTGCTACTTTTCTTTTTTGTTGGATCTTTCTTTTGTATTACGTTATGCTTTACCTTTTGTAAACTTATGAGGAATGAAAAGCTTAAAATTAAACAGGTAGGCTTTAAGAAAGTTGATAACAATCTAAATCATCGTTAAAATTATTCTAGAGTGATTCATTCTGTGGAATTATTATGCAAAAAGAATTATACAATAGGAGCTATAAAAAACTTACTACTTGCATAAATGAAAGCACCAATGTTAAAGCCAGAGAGCTATAACAAGACAGCAATTTAAACACATGAGATGATACGTAACTGGATTCCAAACATAAGACAAAACATGCAGCCTGAGCCTATGCATGTTTACTCATAAGTAAATCCAATTGTGTTCAATAGGGTTGACTAGCAAGTGACTGTGCATAGGATTGTAGCCCTTGTTCCACACAAATGCTACCCTATGAACAGATGCAACTTTTATGCTTAAAGAGGGACAATGATAAATATTAGTATTGCTATTAGAACGGTTCTTCTATTAAGTGGATATAGAGAAATAAGTGCAACACTAGACACAACCTTATCAAGGTACTCTCTGCAATAACTGACACAACAGCTATTGTAAAATTAATGCAGCTCTCTCTTACAAGAAATTTTGTAAGATTTAAGTGGACAGCACAACTGAGACTTTACTCTCTCCAATGCAGGCTTTTAAACACACTTTTTAAGGTTCAGAAAAATTATAATTTTTTGGGAGCAAGAAAAGAACAAATGAATGCTCTACCAAATTGGGAGGGGGGAGAGATGCTTAGAGGATGGAGGGCTCCCTCCTACCTTGGTGAGCTGCGCTATTTTCTTGCTCATTTTGAGATGGAGATCCTGATTATATTCCATGCTGAGCTGGGAGGAGGCGGCCGACGAAGTGGAGGTGGTGAATTTTCCAGCGCTCCCCGAGGAGCTGCCGCTGTAGTAGTGCTGCTGCCAGCTCATCCCTGGTGTCGCCATCTTCCACAGCAAAGAAACCCTGCCAACCGCTCTGCCAAGCGCCGGGAGGAGAAGGGCGAGGGTGACACGAAAATAGGGGTGGGGGAGGAGGGGGGGATTGTTGAGGTTGCAGGCGGAGGAAAAAGACAAGGATAGAGATGGAAAGCAGCTAATGCTGGTGGCAGAGAGGACGGCGGGGGGGGGGTGAGGGGGGAAAGGCGAGGGGGGGGCAGGTCAAACTATCTCTTCACCTCCCCCCCTCCAGTTCCCGCTGCTACCTCCTCTCACTCACAGCGTCTCCCCTCGTCCCCCTCCCGGCCTTATTTGCCACTCTGTCTCCTTCTGCACCATTTTCCTTTCGTGGGAAGGGGAGGCGGGTGAGGGACCCACAGACTCCCCGCTCCTTGCCCTTCAGTTCAGGTGAGGGAGGAAAGGATGGGGCGGTCGGGGAAGGATCTCCTGAGCTAACCACAAGCCACCCCCTGCGGGCTCCTCAGAGATTCCTGCTGCCGTTTCCTTTTTAAACCTCCCCCCCTGGGGCAACGGATAAACGAGCGAGGATGGGGGGGGGGGCGCGCGTCTCGTGCTCTCCGTCCCCGTCTCCCCCTCACAGCGGCGCCTTTCCTCCTCCCGTTCTGGGAGCGGTGCTCCCCGCGGGACCCTTTCCCGGGTCCCGCGAGGGGAAGGGGAGCCCGAGCGAAGCGCCCCCCCCGCCGTTTCTCTCGCTCGGGGGGGCTCCTCTTCCCCTCCCGGAGCTCGCCTCGAAAACAAGCGGGCAAAGCGCCCCCCCCCTCCAAGTGAGCGACGCCGACTGTTGCTACCGAAGCCGACGCTGCCCGCTCTGCGCTCTTTGGCCACAAGAGGCCAACGCTCCGTTACCAGGGTCTCGGAGAACTGTTTACGCCGCGCGCGTGGCGTCATTTCCGCCGTCCATCCTTCTCTCCCCCCCCCCCCGCGCGCGCCCGCCGCCGTCAGTTCCCGCCCCTTTCAGTACCTCGGAAAGGGACTTAATTTTAAGTCGCGCACGCGCAGATGCGCTCTCCAGGGTGGTTAGTTAAAACCTTTAGGCGCGCTAAGAGGGAGGCGCGAGAGAGCTCCGTGTGCTGTTAAGACCCACGAGAAGCGGCTCTGAGGAGACGGCTCTATAATAAGCATTGCTCTCCCGCGGTGGCGTCACGAGCGCGGGCTGCAGCAACGGCCAGGGCGGCCCCAGGAGCAGGTTGGGTGGCGGTTGCTGGGCTACTTCCCGCCATTGCGATCCTTCGTTGGGAACGATTGCAAATCACCTCTCCCTCTCTCCGAAACATACACATCTGCTCAGAACTCCAGGGATTCTTCTCAAATTATAGTGTACATATACACTTATGATGGCGAAAGATCGAAATAAGAACACAAGGAGAGTCTGCGGGATCAGGCCAGTTGTCAACATCAGATCCAATATCCTGTTGTCACAGCGGCTGGACAGTTTCCTGTAGACACACGAGCCAACTCCTAGGGGCCAAGGTCCCTTTGTCACCCCCCAATAAAATATATGAGCTCCCCACCCCCCAAGTTAATGGGCATCACCATTCAAATGGTGTGGGTGCCCCACGTCTTGCGATCAGTTACATGAGGCTCCCCCAATATTTTATTCAAGTTGGCATCCCTGTCTGTGGGAAACAAGCAAACCGGATTCAAACACAAGAGCTCTTTCTCCTTCTGTGGTTTCCAGAAACGGGTATTCAAGATCTGTGGAGGCAGAGCATAGCCATCATGGCTAGGAACCATCTCCTCCATGAATTTGTCTAATGCTCTTTTAAAGCCATCCAAGTTGGTAGCCATTAGTGCCTCCTGTGGGAGTGAGTTCCATAGTTTAATTATGTGCTGTGTGAAAAAGCATTTTTTTTTAAAAAAAAAAATCCACCCTGACTCTCCCAACACTCAGCTTCATTGGATGTCTATGAGTTCTAGTGTTATGGGGGGGGGAATTCTCTATCCACTTTCTCCATACTGTGCATAATTTTATAAGCTATCATGTCACCTCTTACTTGCCTTTTTCTAAATTACAAAAGTCTCAAACATTGCAGCCTTTCTTTATAGGGGAGTTGCTCCATCCCCTTGATCATATTGGTTGCCCCTTTCTGAACCTTTTCCAACTCTGTAATATCCGTTTTGAGGTGAGGCGACCAGAACTGTACACGGTCCAACCACTTAGCTGCCGTATATGCAAGAGGAGAGGGTGGTAAAGGTCATACTTAGGTCTTCTTAGATATACTGTATATCACACACAGAACATATCTAGAATTTATTATCTATTTCAGAACATGTGGCCTTCCACAAGGTCATCAACCATTTTTAAAAAAATGAAATCTACTGAACTAATATTGTAATGATGGTTCTCTAAAATACAAATTCCTTTCAAGTAAGAGTTTCAGCTTTCTAACCTTAGGAAACCAGCACAGAATGAAAATCCATTCATGATTAGTATGCATTATACAGGAATGAACACAGCACTAAATAATGTGCTAATTTATCTGAGCAAAAAGGGAATTAATTTATGTTTAAATAAGCCAATACATGAGGGAGGAACATCCCTCAAGATTTATCTGCAATAAAATCTGTTGTCAGTTTTAGCTGAGACAGGATTCTACCAACATGAACAATGAAACTCCCTTATAAATTAAAACAGTTTAAGTTGGTGTGATTTTGAAATAAAGCCATATATTTCAGTTTGGCTTCAAGGATATTTGGCTGCTCTTTCCTTAACTTCATTTCATCAGTAGCCAAGGAACTGTGGTGTGGGATGCACAGACAGCAGCTTTAAGGAATTCAGGGGTTGCAGGTGCAGGGGAACCAAACAGGTAATGCTCATCATGTGAAAATATCCCTGCTGCTTCTCTAGTGTGCACAGCAACATGCAAATGTGACTTGAAATGCCACAGATAAACAACCTCACTGCACTTAAAGCTACCAATGCACACATAGCCTTTATGGGAGTAATAGCAAGTCAAATCCAAAGCATTTTAAGTGTTCCTCCTGTCCCAAGGGATAAGAAGAGGTTTCAGGGACAATGCTGCAGGATTTAATGTCCTTTGGGGGCAGTGCATAGGAAATTTGCAGCATCTTGGTATTCTTTGTTTCAGTTACAACTGAAAAGCAGAGCTTACTAGAAGTTAATCGACACTCCTATAGCAGACAGCAAATCTGCTAATCTGACATCATGTTTCCAGAGAGAACCCTTGTATCTCAAGATGCTACAGCACTCATCTCTATTTCACTGGCTCCAAACTCTTTATCTGAGCGCCTCCTGCCAACTTCTCAAACTAAAGAGGAATCTCAATCTGTTAAGGAATATGAATATTATTTTGTTAAATTCCAGAATCCTATCGTGCGGCACTCTTTTTAAAACCATAATGATAGACCCATGATCAGTAATCAATACGATAACACTGCTCTGGTGTGTGCTGCATATGCAACTAGCTGCTGCTACCACCACCATTCAGTTTCTTGGTTGGACTTTGACTCCAGTTTGCTCAGCTGGGAAGGAGGCAGAAGAAGTATTGCACAGGAGAGAAAGGCAGGAATGCAGATCTGACTCTATATGAACTTTAGACAACTTGGTGCCCTCCAGCTGTTTTTGACTGCAAATCCCATCAGCCCCAGCCAACACAGATGGGGAAGTTTGGGGGGAAGACTGTCTAGACAACAACCAGACCCATGTGCATAGGTAGCTTTCCCATGAATGCAATCCATTTGTTTTGCTTGCAGCCTTTGTGACACACATGCTAGGGTTTGGTCAGACTTGAAGTTTGGTGTACTAAACTGCATGTTGTGGAAACATTTCCCCTCTTTGTTTTTTGCTCAGCTGCAACGCTTTTACACAAAGTTTATGCCTTACAGAGCTTTGGCACTTTGCAGTTTCTGAAAGCCCTTTCTATAAGCTTAGTATTTCTAATAAAATTCAGAAATACAGCCGGATTATCTTCTGTATTTTTAGTGCAGCATGCATCGTTTTGGTGCCTTTGCTTAAGGAAGAACCAGCGTAATAATGGAGACATACTGTGGTAAAAGGATGCAGACAATGGAGAAAACAGGGCTGCTATAATAGGACATGTACAAATGTGCCATTCATTGTGACCTCAGTTTTGGCAAGAAAGAGGTCATTAAATATGAATGCAGGCCCTTCTTGGGAAATTACAGTGAATATATTTATGAAATAGGAAAGCAGCACTACTGGTTTGAGACCCAATAAAAAATAGTGGGAGCACATGAGGTGAGGAAAGGTTTGTAAGTAAAACAAAGGAATGTGAGAAATCAGCACTGATATTTTATTGGGAAACAGTGGCAAAAAGTTGCACAAGGCAGCGAAATGCAGGCAGATCAGGATGTTTTGGAAGAACTCTTGGTGATCTGAAGGAAATGGGTAAGGATTTCTGACTCTAGTTGTACGGTGAAATAAAATGACTCCTGCATTGCAGGGGTTTGGACTAGATGACCTTCCAGCTCTATGATTCTATGACTCCCCCTCCAAAATGTTATCACTGAAACAAATAAAGCTGTGGTAGAGGCCTGAGAAAGTAACCAGAAGTTGATTTTTGTGTGGTGGGACTGTGAGATCAGTTCGCTTCTGGCATTCATCCAGAACAAATCCCTGGATTAAGATTTTTTTCAATCCCAATTGCATCTGACTCTCAATGGCAGATCTCTGCATATACACCCAAACACCCAGACTAGGTGGCCTAAACCTGAAGTCTACGCTAGTCTGACATAAGATGGACTCTGGTTCACAAATGGCTTATGTCTTAAAAGAAAAAAAGATGTCACATGACTCTTTTTACTGCAACAGACCAACATGGCTACCCCTCTGGAAACTGCGGCAAAAGTAGTTTTGCTAAAACGGAAAACTTTGCAGCAGGTGGAGCACCTCAGACCCAGGAGTCAAATGCAGCCCTCCAGGCCTCCTTGTCCAACCCTCAGGACTCTCCCCAGGCCACACTGCTCACAGGTCCTGGTCTGTGCCCTTCTGAGTGCTTCTGCCTGGTTGGAATGTGTCCTTGCCCAGTGATAATGCCTCCTGGTTATCCTCTCCCACAGCTTTATTTTTTGTTTGCCAGGATGGCCAGAGGCCTCTGTATTATATTTCTGATAATATAACCAGCAAGATCTAGCTGAAGGTCTCTCTCTCTCTCTCTCTCTCTCACACACACACACACAACCCAAAGTGAATTCACAGTGATTAATAGTGCCTAGATTTGCCAAAGTATTGCTGTACTAAATTCATTCCATTTGGCAGAGCAATTTGGCAGAATGCTTGATTAATGCGAAAAGTGCAATATGTATAGTGGAATGATAAGATCCAAACTGCCTTATACATTTTATATGCCAATGGGTACCCACTTTCCTGGCATCTGACAGTCAGTACACGATGGCGCTGATACAGAGGAAGAAACACTTTTGCTAGATTAACCACCTCTGAAAGTCATTCAGACCTTTGCCTTGTTGCCTAGTTATCAGATTAATCTTCCATTGAACTGCACCATCCCCAACCAAATACAGTACTGTTGTTTTTATATTTTGTACATTGCATTGGGGCATATGTGGTAGGTGATTGTGGTCTGCAGGACCACAGGGGCTAATTAACTGCCCCAAACACAACTGTGGAGAGAACAATGAATTATGGATTGCCTGTAGTTGATGATGGTTTCCTCCTCCTCCTCCTCCTGGATGCCTGCCACAATGGCCCAGCAGCTCTGAGAGCAGAATTTGTCATTCCACTGTAGTTTTAAGTTCCACCTGCTGGCAGCCACACAAACATCAACATAACAACATCCTTAAGAAAATATTTATCAGGAGAGATAGTAGAACTGTTCTATAAACTGGAGGGTGGCTGTAAA